ATTTGGCTTAAACGTCTCCTAACGGAGATTGGTAGTCTTAAGCAGGACATTTGTGTGTTTTCTGATAGTCAATCTGCTATTCAATTGTGTAAAAACCCTGTTTTTCATGATAGAACTAAGCACATTGATGTTAGATTTCATTTTATACGTGATATTGTTAGTGCAGGTCATATCAAGTTGATTAAAATTCCTTCGGAATTTAATCCTGCTGACATGGGGACTAAATGTCTCTCGGTCGAAAAGTTGCTGTCGTGCAAACGCACGTTAAACATTGATTGCGGATAAGTTGCCTGGTGATCTTGCCCCTTTTGCCTGAATATGTCTTTGTGATTATTCGGGCAATCCAGCGATGATGAGTCTCATGTATGTTTTAGAGTTTTGACTCTACACCACTACGGTCCAATAAGGTGGAGAATGTGTTAAGGTATTGGCCCAGCTTTTTTTTCATAAGCCCAATTCACCTGTTGTACCCGGCCCAGGCTTTGTTGAGCTTACCGTTCGCACACCTTCCTCTTTTGCGCAGTACTCTCCTCTCCCTTTACTGAGTAAGTTCATCGACATATCTTCTTTCCTTGAATGGGCTTACAGAATCCCTCCATATGGTAATTACCATCTTGATTCGTCTGCTCTGCCTATTAATATTCTTTCTCTGCGAAGATTGGAGTCTGCCGATAACCCTATTCCCTCTTTCTCCTCTGTGGACGAATTGACCGGTAAATTGGCCGGAAAAGCTAGATGGCAGATGCCCACAACCTCTACCTTTGAGTCCTAGTGGTGGATTTCATCCTTTGTGGGTGATATTTGGACGAGACCTGAGCTGGAAGTGTCTCTAACAGATCACACACACAATTGAAATCTCCTAATACTACCCAAGGGGCAAGAATGTTCTTTCCAAGGCCGATTACATGTTCCCACAAGCACCTCCTCTCTAAAACCGTGTATAAAGCATAGATGCAAGAAACATAAATGGTGAGTTGGGTTACTCTACATGTGAACCGGGCATGGATGTGTTGTTTATCCACTTCCATGATAAACCCTTCCACATAAGAAGAATCCCAAATGATAGCCATTCGGCCACCATCCATGCACTCAAAGTTTGTCTTAGACTTTTATTGTACTAAACACATGAATGGGTGTTAATATTTTGCTTCACTTTTATTGTACTAAACACACAGTGTGTGTTAATGTTTTGCTTCGTTGTTATTGTACTAAACACTTTGCCAACTTATTCGTATACACATTACCAATACCATAATGCAATACTGTAAGCATATATATATATATATATAGAGTCCTGATCCTGTCAGACCGGCCTGACGGGAACCGCTGTCAGGCCGAGGCCATTTGGGGCCCTTCCCGGTGGAATTTTTTGATGAAATTTTTTGAGCATGTTCCTCATCAAGTCTAGTTTATCCATACCAAATTTCAGCTAAAAATTCAATCGGGAAGGCAAAAAAAAATCGATACGAAAACTGCGCTGTTTATATATATAGAATGCACAGTTTTCGTAGGGATTTTTTTGACTGCCTTCCCGATTGAATTTTAAGCTGAAATTTTGTATGGATAAACTAGACTTGATGAGGAACATTCTCAAAAAAATTCATCAAAAAATTCCACCGAGAAGGGACCCAAATGGCCTCGGCCATACGGGAACCGCCGTCAGGCCGGCCTGATATGCAAAATCAACTTTACTTACCATCATGCAAGGACTGGGGAAGTAAGGGCATGGCCTTTGTACAATCCAACATATTGTAAATTTGTAATACATATTGAATAATTGAATAACATTCATAATGTATTGATAACAACAATCATCTCTGCCATTACAAACCAACATTCATATTGAATAAGAAAGAGTCTCAATAACACAACAATCATAATGTATTCATAACATTCAGAATAGCATTTAGAATGTATTCATAACAACAAACATCTCTCCGGCATTACAAAACAAACATTCATATTGAGCAATAAGCAAAACTACACAAAACAATCCAATCCAACATCAGAACATAAGCCCTACGCAACCAACCATCTATTCCATTACAAATCATTATTACAACCTCAAATACATACTTCCTGCTAAAGCTAGAAGTTCAAGCATAGCTAAGCCACACACCTTCCTATTCTTTTTGTTGACCTTTGCCTCATTATCAACAATAGCTTTAACAGAAGCAAGATCTTTCTCTACGTGTGTGAATGGGAAGACAAGGCCTTGAACAAGTATTTTCACTTTATCACACACTTCATTCTGGTCTACAAGCCTCACAATTGGTTCCTTGTGTTCAGCCCTATCATATCATTTCTTCCAACATCTTCCTTTCATAAAAAATATTTGCAACTACCAACATGTACTTATACACTCATAAAACACCACCATTGTTGTAGTTCATGCTAATATATAATTGTTGCACCTAATAAAATGCATTACACATTGTAATTGAACACGACACAACCAAATAAATGAATTGCCTTCCATTTTTTACACTCATAAAACATTCTACCACTCTCCCGTCCAACGCAAAGAGGGGCTTTCAATACACACCAACAATATATAGGAGGCTCTTAGTCCATAGTATGACTTCGTTCTTTGGTACCCGTTGATGTCGATGACCATGACATGCTGAAAGAGAGCGAAAAACTATCACAGTGAGGGAGACGAAGAATCAGGGCAAAAACGATTGTACTTCTGTTCGATATGGGGTTTGAAGAGGAGATGAGATTCCATAAGAGCAAAAATCCACATCAGATAAGTGGCCGGGTAAGTGATGGCCACATCTGCATCTAGGTCAGCTGGTAACGGGCAAACCGTCAACTTACAGGCTTAAAAGCCTGATTGGGTGATTTTTGAGAGTAAAGGGATTTAATTGGGTGATTTGAGAGTGCGAGAGATTAATTGACGAATTGGTAAAAGTAGGGGGGCCTCAAATAAATAAATAAAATTAAAATCTAAAGAAGAAGAAAACAGAGGACCCACAACAGAATTGAAGAGGAGGAGAAGGAGAAGAAGAAAAAGAAAAGAAAAGAGGAAGAAGAAAATGAGGGGAGGAGGTTATACTTGTCAGTTTGAGGAACCAGTGTAACAACTTCGATTGGGAGAGCATCTGCGCTTGATGTCGTCCGTAAAACTTGAGATTAATTTAAAGAGATTAATAACACTACTCATACAACAAAGTGCATTTTCTTTTAAGGAAGTTCATCATCTAAAAACTCCAAGTTAAGCGTGCTTGCACGAGAATCGTTTTGGGATGAGTCTGAAGTTTCTCAGAGCGCACACGAGTGAAAATAAAATGTGCGATAAAACTTATGTGTTTGGTTTGGAATTTGATTGAGTTTAATTAGAGAAAGAGCAAGAATGCCATTTGAAATCCTATTTAAGGAATAAAAAAACTCAAAGTCCATGTTTTACGGAGTGTTTGCAGTTGATTAAAAAAACACGTTTCAGCTTTTGGTTTAAAAAAATTAAAATTGATGTTTTCAAATGATTGCTTCTATTTAAATTAAGCACTTTAAAATTAAAAGTTGGAAACTGGTATTTTGGTTCTTCTAAGTGCTTCTTGGTATTTTTGTAAATAACTCCCACTTTAAGGATAATAATCATAATGACAAACAATTCACCCAAATCCCAAAGTCCCAAACTACCCCCATCCCCCACGGTGACCTCAGCTCTAGCTCCCTGCTTGGCTGCTTCCCTGTTTGCTGCTTAGAACAACTCCAACCATCACCATTTCTTACACCAAAATGGTGGATTTGCCAAAAAAATGCTCCAATAGCTACACCATTCTTTGCACCATTCCACCAAAATGGGGGAGGGAGTTTGGGTTTACGCCATAAATGGCACACACCATCATAACTTCGGTATTTGATGTTTCATTTGTATTACTCCGTATTTAATTTATCAGCTTATCTCTAATAAGATATTGCTATTACTCTGCAAACATAATTTCTACGTACAACTCATGCTTCCACCCACATAACACAAACTAATACGATAGTATTTAATTTTATGTGGTTTTAACTTGTATTTGTGAAATATTGATTATTGTATTTTAATTAGTGAAATGTGTGAAAATACATATTAAAATGGTGTATTTTAGTTTGTATGTGTGAAATAATGTGTGAAATGTCAAAATATTAAATGAGGGGCTAATGTATAAATATATGATAATTAGATACTTAAATATAATAATGGTAAAAAGTTAGTAAAAAGAATAAAAATGGAATATTCCTTTTTGGTGATGAAAATGATGTAAACTGTTGGAGATAAAATACTGTATGATGTGATGTTTACACCATTTTAGTGTAAAAAATGGTGTAAACTGTTAGAGATGGCCTTAGCTCCCTCACGCTGTATCACATCTGAGCATCTAGCTTCTCCAATTGCACACACAAAATCATATACATAGATATATATATATATATATATATATATATATATATATATATATATATATATATATACTCCCTCCGTCCCGTTGGAATGTTCCCGATTTGACCTACACACATATTAAGGAAATTAACTTACCAGGGGGTAAATTTTACTGTTTGGACACTGTTTGGACACTGTTTGACACTGTTTTGCACTGTTTGACACTGTTTTGATGTAGGATAACTTTCCATTTAGGGAAATGAGAACTTTCCATTGGGACATCCAAAAAAGGAAAGTGGGAACATTCCAACGGGACGGAGGTAGTATATATATAGCTACGGAGTATATCAATCCAGTCTTATATTTCAATTTGTGGGCATCCCTTATGCGAAGTAAATATGTTTATATTTTGCTTCAATATATGGCCGACGAATTATACTCTCGCCACCAGATTAAAACATTTTTAACTTTCGCTACAAATTACTTTTAGTCCAACTTTAACATCTTTATCAAAATCACTTTCACTTTTATTTGTAGTGAAAGTTGTCTGTCAACTTTCATTACAAATAATTTTCTCCAAAATGACTTTAAAAATCACTTTTTTTTAAGTGGAAACACAAACACATTCCATTTGAAATAATTTCAACTCTTTTTGGGATCCCACAACTGATTTACGCAGTAGTTTTTTACAGAAATAAATGGGGAATGAAGAATTTGATAGCCCAGCTGCCGCGCGTCCACGTGAATTGTGCGACACGGCCCTCACGTCCGGAGGATATCTTTGAAAGTGATCTTTTTTGTATATTTTATGTAAGAATCAACCTTTAATGTTCACTTCTTCCGCTGCTGGTTTCTTCTTAGATAGGCTCCCTTTGATTCTTCTTCGACCAGCTTTAGGAAGGAATCTATTTATTGCCAAAGGTTCATAGTCACCTGTAATCTCGAATGAGTTAGCTTGGCTCAGCAATTGGGAAGTATGCTTTTCTCCGCGCTACTTACTTCAGTTGGAATCAATCTCGCCCTTTGTTTCGTCTTCTTTGTTTTCTATTCTGTATTGAGAAAGCAGCCCAGCAATGAAGACGTTTACGCTCCTCGGTTACTCGCGGATGGGGAATCTCAGGGGAGAGCTCGTTTTGAATTGGATAGGTTACTGCCGTCCGCCGGCTGGGTTGCGAGAGCCTGGCGACTCACAGAAAGCGAGCTCTTATCAGTTTCCGGTCTGGACGCCGTTGTTTTCATGCGAATTTTTATATTCAGGTAGGTAATTACTTTGTTGTCTATGCATCGTTAATGGATAGTGACTGTAATGGGCTGATTTGGTGGTCTTCATCTGCATAAACCTTTCAGCTTTAAAGTGTTTGCATTTGCTACAGCAGTTGGGATCCTCGTTCTCCTCCCCTTCAATTACATGGGGAATCAGCTGAGTCTTGATTTTACTGACTTGCCTAACAGATCCCTGGAATCATTTACTATTTCAAATGTTGATGATGGGTCAAACAGGTGATAATGTTTACTGTTCTTTTGTTATTTGCTATTATGATATTGATTTATTTACTTAAACGAAATGGTAGTGTAATTATGCAAGTATTGTTTTGTGTTTGATGGACCTTTAAATACAAAAGGTAAAAACTACTATACTAGGAGCAGTATGAGTTTGAACATTATGAATTTAGTGTTCATGGTTGCAGACTCACCAGTAGCCATATGAGTTCCTAATCACTTAAGGGGTTCAAAAAAGGATTTCTAGTTAATAATACCATTGATCTGGACAACTAAAAGTTGTCTCTTTTGCTCATTCTAAGGTTATGAATCATTTCTTTGAAGCCTATGTTATTTGCTGTGCAGCCTGTGCTTGAACAATATGATTTAGAATAATTACTAAGACTATGCCTGGAATGCGGAAAATGCTAGTGAAAGGAAATTTGTTTTTATGTTTGAAGAAATCAAACATAATTAAAGATATTAACATTTTACGTATGCTTATATTTCTTAATCTTTATATAATAGAAATATAAGTAAAATGGGTTTGAAAACTATCTAATATTTTGAATTCCAATGAAGTAATGCCCTTTATATAACAAAAGCGTACTTAGAAATTTTGGTTTGTGCTAGTTAGTGTTTGTCATTTTCCATCATTTGCAATGGAGCCAAAGACTCACATTTTTTTGGCTTGGGAATATGATGGAATAAAGCAAAATGGCTCACTAAATTGTTTGTGCTTCTTTATTATGAAGTAGTTGTCAGTCCATGCAATTTCCGATGCGATTTTCCCTATGGGACTATGGGTCATTCGAAAACGGTCTCTCTGTGCTTTAGTATAGTACAAGACTGCCTACATCCACCCCTTACCCCACCATAGGTGGGAGCCTTTGTGGCACTGGGGTAATGATGATGACGACTAGTTAGTCTTTGTCAATGACTCTATGCACAGCTGACCAGTACTATACTGCTTTTCGAGTTCCTAATATCACTTATGGAGTAAATGAATTCACTCTCTCCTTACCTTTTTATCTTCATCAATTCATTTTTATTCATCCCTAAATTATTTCTTTTTTTATTCTAAGGAAAGAATTTGGTGGCTGATGTTATTTATCTCCTTTAAACAAATTTCAACCATACAGATTCCACTTTCCTAAAAATTGTGCTTAAGCCCAAAAGGGAGAATAAAAAGGGATGGAAGGAATGGTTTTGGTTCAAATAAGAACACGATCTTATGAGAGAAATGAGAACGAATCTGGACCGTTAGATTTGCTATAAGTGAAACTCAGTGTGCATTAGATGAAACTGTAATGTGCATTAGGTGAAATTGAAATGTGCAGCACAAAGGGTATAATACGGTGGCATTATGTGAAGCTGAATTGTGCATTAGATGAATTTGAAATGTGCACTACATGAAACTAAAATGTGCAGAATAAAAGGTACAATGTGATGTTATTTTTGTACCTTTTATTATGCACATTTCAGTTTCACCTAATGCACATGTGAGTTTAAATTTTTATTCTGCACATTTTAATATCATCTAATGCACATTTCGGTTTCATCAAATGCACAATTCAGTTTCACATAATTCAATCCAACGGTCCAGATTCGTTCTCATTTCTCTCCTAAGATCCGTTCTTACCGGAACCGCTCCCTGGAAGGAATAGTTAGTAATAATTGAGTTGGAAGCTAAATGTTGTCTCTTCTGGTCTTTCTAAGGTTATGGATTCACTTCTCAGCAGTGTACGTATTCACGGTGTATGTTTGCTATCTTCTCTATGCTGTAAGTAGTTCACAGTCTTTACTTGGGCTCCATTGGCATCCATAATCAAAGCTTTTCATTTAAGAAAATCAGTAAATTCAGTCCATGCAAGATGGAATAAAGCAAGATGGCTCACTAAACTGTCTGCGCTTCTTTGTTATGAAGCAGCGCTCAGTCCATGCAATTTTGGACGCGATTTTCACTATGGGTCATCCGAAAACAGTCTCTCTGTACTTTAGTACAGGGGTAAGACTGCGTACATCCGACCCCTCCTTACCCCACCGTAGGTGGGAGCCTTTGCGTCACTGGGGTAAATGAAAATGAAATGAAAATGAGTAAATTCAGTCAGTCAGCCAAACAACCATTACCAATGAGTCCTTGTTGCAATGATGTGTTGTGTGCCAATGAATGTCATCTTGTTGATGAAACAATTTATGATTTGCAGGAGTATGACCATATTGCATCTAAAAGGCTTGCCTTTTTTAATTCATCAAAGCCCAAGCCACACGAGTTCACTGTTTTAGTTCGAAGTATTCCACCATCCCCAGGGAAGAGCTACACTGAAGTTGTTGAGAGCTTTTTTATGGAGTACCATCCTGATACGTATCTCTCACACTCTGTTGTCCGGCGGACAAGCAAACTTAAAGGCCTCATTGTAAGATTTAACTTCACATATGAATTAACCTTTTTCAGCAGAAGTCATGTTTTTACTTTTATCTTTCTTATAATGTTTTCCCTTTTTCTATTACTTTAATGTACATGACTGGCCCTGTGATCTACATCATGCGGAGTGGATCCTTCATTCTTTGCTTTGTTAATGTGGATTAAAAGCAATTATAAGCTTCTGGTGTGGTTGTTAAACTGTTCTTGTGTATGTTTCAACACATCTAAGATCTAAGCAATTTGAATTCCAGGATGAAGCTGATAAGCTGTACAGGAAACTAGCTCGGTTGAAAACATTAGACCATAGTCAAGAAAGATTTGGCCGTGCTGGCTTCATGGGGATCTTTGGGCCTAGAGTTGACCTTTTGGGCCACTATGAAATGAAGCTAGAAGATATAGAATACAAAGTTAGAGTGGAACGATCTTCAAAGGTAGTTTTAGTCACATAAATCGTTTACTAAACTTATAGTCTTGACTGTTGACATTCAGTAAAAGAATACTTCTGCATTCCAATGAAGCATTTAATATTTTGCTCACTGTTTTCCCTTAAAGGAAGAAATAATGATGATAATAGTTGGTACTAGGGTACACTTTTGAGTAGTTTGACACTCTTGTTGCTTTGTGTGATTTTATCACAAATGTTTTATATATTAAGGAACGGAGGGAGTGTCATATACTCCCTCCATCCCAAAGAGAATCCTGTTTGTTCCAAAATACTTGCATGTTTGACCCCAATAAAAAGTCCCATTTCAACAAAAGAAGCTAATTTTCATTGAATTACCAAAATAAGTTCCAAACATGTGAAGTGTGCAAAATTTAGTTTAACAAACAAATAAGTTCAAAAATACAAGGTGGACGGTTTGAAGAGACTTTTACCTTAATAAACTGTAAATGTTGTACCAGAATGCACAGATGTAGTACTTTTCACTTTCTCAGTCATGGGCTAAACATTCTAATATTAGGAGGTGCAAGCGGCTTTTGTATCCTTCAAAACACGATTTGGGGCAGCAGTAGCTTTAAACATCAGACAAAGCAGCAATCCCACTGAATGGGTTACTGAGCCATCTCCTGATCCAGAGGATGTATATTGGCCCTTCTTTTCAGCTTCATTTTTCAAAAGATGGTTTTGCAATGTTGCTGTTTATACTGCATGTGTTGTACTTACAGTTCTGTTCCTTATACCTGTTCTCATAGTACAAGGTCTTACCCATCTAGAGCAGCTGGAGATTTGGTTCCCCTTTCTAACAGGAGTATTGCGAATGTGAGTATGTAGTTCTTGTCACAGTAATGCATTGTTCTCCCATGTAATGAAGAAGAAGAAGAGGGGGGGGGGGGGGATGATTTTAACATTACCTCATTTGGGTATAGTAGATGGAAGGGGATGAGAGGAGGCATTTAACATTTTAATTCTGTACTATATTATCATTATTTTATGAAATTTAATAATAAGTAATCAGTTTAGATCAAGCAACAATTACGAATAGTTCATTATATTTCTTAACAAACATATTTGGTATATTTAAATATAAGACATATTTTTTTATAGATACAACAACAACAACATCCCAGTGCCGCAAAGGCTCTCACTGATGAGAACCCAGCCCATTTAGATATTAATAATGAAAGGGATTTTTCCAGAGTTTATAGTAGGAGAAATAAAAGGGCAAAGGAGTAAAAGCATAATTAATGGGGGGAGCTGGGTCGGCAGATTGGGGAATAAAACGGGAACCAAGGGAGGAGAATAGGCATCGGGAAATTTGGATAGACTGGTTTTGGAGAGAGGGGCCCTCTCGAAAGGCTTCCAACTTGTTTTTCTCTTTCAACAAATAATCTTCCTGATCATTGTGTTCCAGGATTCAGTAATTTTCTTTCAATAAAATTTTCAGTATTTCAGTTCTTATCATTTGGTATCAGAGAACGATCACTGTACCTGTGTATGGTATTCACTCGATCAAACATGGAACAACGACTTGAAAGTTTGGAGCGATCTGTAGAGATTTCCAAGGAAGAGATCCGAGCAGAGATGAGAGCATTGATGGACGAGAAAGTGCAGTTGTTGCTGGACAAGATGCAAAGCTTCGAAGTTCAGGGCCATCACAGGAGAAGAAGAGGACGGTCACCCACCCATCGACGGCGACAACCTTCTGCCAGCGTGAGTTCGTCCAAGTCAGGAAGTATTTCTCAGGGTTCTCGATCCTCTTCTCGTACCCCTGAACCGACGGGAATTAACGATCGAGTATATACGGGACGAAAGGTGGATTTACCGCTTTTTAGTGGGAACGATGCTTACGGATGGCTTATCAGGGTGGAACGCTATTTTAAACCATGGTTACAGAAATCGCTAGACATGCCACGGTCTGCGTTCCGGATGGCGCGTTCTGGATCGCGGTACAGTAGCGCGCCGCACGTGTCAGGGTCGCGACTTCGGTACGATGGTCGCCGTTGCTGTAGCTGGTCTCTCTCGCCGTCGATGGTTGCTGACTGGTCGTCGTTGCTGGTCGCAGACTCTGCTTCGCGATTTTAGATGGGTGATGCTAGGCGCGCCTCCGACTTTACTTTGCGCACCTATTTTTTATCAAATCTGGACAAGTATGTCCAAGCCAAATCTGCCGCACCACTAGTCCACAACTTAATAACCAAGCTAAGCCTCTCTCCCTTGCTTCATATTGATTTTTAATTTTAATGGGCCTTGTTGCATTTTTCCTTTGTCCTTAGTCAAATCTGCCGCACCACAACGTATTAACCAAGCTACGCCTCCCCTGATTAAGTGATTTTGTCCAGTTTTGCATTTTGCTCCCGTCTCATTAAGTTTGTTCATACCATATTTGGTTAGATTTGAGTGATTACAATTCATTCTTATTTTATCCGCACTTTATCAATTCAATACTAATCACACAATTCTACTTTTTCTTAAAAGATGTGTCACACCTCTTTGTTCCAAACATAGTGGGAGGTAGAACTATATAAATATTAGAAATTCATTATTAATGCTTTTATAAACTATTTACAATCTTCTTATATAATGGATGGTGAATCTGAAAAATTATCTAAAAAATAGTACTCTTAATTTTTAGACTTATGAGGTATTCATCTGCCCCACTATTTGTATATTAGTTCTTCTTTTTATGTGTTTCATTATGTTTGTAGTATACGATATTCATTAATATTTTGATGATCACGTATATATACGTTTTCATTCAAAAACATAAATGTTTTGTTTTTAATTTTGTGCAATTCTATATTGGATTATAGAATAAGTAACATTTTTAATCTTAGTAAACCAAAAGATTTTCATTTTTTATTTGTTTGACTAATTTCGAAGGTGGAGGGCCCCACCGTTTAAAACTCAAGCGGCACCATGTCCATGTTGATTCTGCATTACAACCATATATGTTATATGACTAGATTTATGATGCGAATGATATTTAGAATGTTTTTAATTGAACTGATTTCGATCCAGATAAATTCAATCGAATTAGATCAGATTAGACTAGACTGTGTTTTTTAATTGACTATGTTTTTTTTAAATTTTTACATATATGATATTGGTGTCAAATGAAAGATCATAAAAAATTATTTAATTTGATATAATTTTTATAAAAATAGGAGCAAAATTGAAAAAGTTAAAACATTTTATAAAAAAAGGAAAATTAGCCACATGGCATCAAGTTATTGGAGGAGAATAAATGTTCAAATTGTTAGATGGTGCGCCTATTTTTATTTCAAAGAAGCACGGCCCATTTAAAAAACATGAGATGCTTGATAATGTGGTGCGCCTAGCAACATTTAAGGACAAATTTGTCCAGATTTGACAAAAATGGGCGCGCAAAGCAATCATGAAGGCGCGCGGAGCAGAGCCGTTTTGGATCTAGGTCTGCAAAGTTACTGAAAAGCCGTTCTCTAAATTCCGTTCTTTTTTGGTAAACTTAAAAGCTGTTCTTTTTTTTTTTGGTAAAGTTAAAAGCCGTTCTCTATTTCTCTTTGTTTTTCACTATAATTTCTCTCATTTTTTGTGGGTCAGTTGACTGGACAGTTGGACCATATCTTTACTTCTTTAGTTTTGGACTAAGTATTACTCCTTATTTAGTATTGAATACTTTTAACATACTATTTACCTGCAAACTTAACTTTTCATATTTAGTTCTTGTAGTTTAACTCTTATTTAAATATTATTTTATAATTTATAAATTTTATATGTTAGGATGTTTTTACTTGGACTGTAATTTGCCCCAGACCAGACCAGACCAGATCAGTTCAGACCAGACCAGACCAGTTCAGACCAGACCAAACCAGACCAGACTTGGATAGTTATAAAAATACAAAGAAACCAGACCTTACCAGACCAGACCAGACCAATTCAGACCAGACCAGATCAGACCAGACCAGACCAGCAAATTGCAGTTCAAGTAAAAACATCCTTAATGGTACACCGTACCATAATATATGGTACAACGTACCGCGTACCGAAACAGCGTACCGAAGAAGCCTACCCCCTACGTATCGGATTTTAGATATGAGCAATCCGCGATCCCGTTTTCGTTCCGTGTTCCGGAGCGTATCGTGATCCATGTGACTATGTTTTAAACTAAATCAAGTATCCGAGAGTGATAAAGTGGAAGTTGTCCTGATGGCCATGACCGACAGGGCTCTGAACTGGTATCAATGGTGGGATGAACAAACTGATGACCATTCCTGGGGAAATTTTAAGGAAGCATTGATCCGACGTTTCCAGCCGGAATTAGTTCAGAACCCGTTTGGCCCTATGCTCAAAATTAAGCAAACTAATTCAGTCATGGAGTACAGGGATCACTTCGAAAAGGTTGTAGCTCCCATCAAAATTGCTGACCCAGAGATGCTAAAAGGAGTATTTTTCAATGGCCTCAAAGAAGAAATTAGTTCAGAGCTGAAGTTGCACCGGACCACGGGGATAACTGATCTTATGGACACCGCCCAGCTTGTAGAACAGAAAAACCTGACATCAAAAGGGGGAAAGAATAAGGAAATAGACAGACGAGGGTGGATAAGTACGGGAATGAATTCATCCAAAGGTCAGTACAGTGCGGAAGGAAATATAGGAAAATTTGTCACACCAAAAATTCCTATGCTGGAGAGGGACCATTCAGAAGTTCAACATGAACATTCTAGCGGGTTGAATAAACAATGGAAGGGAGGACCAAGACTGTCTCAAGCTGAAATACAAGATAGATCTAGAAGAGGACTATGTTTTAAATGTGGGGACAAATGGAGTAAAGAACACATGTGCAAAATGAAAAACTACCAGTTAATGTGGGTAGAGTCAGTAGAAGAAAACGAGGAAGGTGAACCGCAGGTGTTGGAAACAGGGGAGATTGAGGCTGACACAGGAGGAGAACACAACGATATGCAACTATCGATTTTAAGTAAGGAAGGAATCAATACTTATAAAACTTTTACAGTCAGGGGACAAATAAGGAATACGAGCAAACGCAAATCAATCGTAATCCTCATTGATTCAGGTGCTACCCACAACTTCATTTCTCAGAGATTGGTTGATGAGATGGGGCTGAATTACAATGTCAACACTGGGTTCAAGGTCGAATTGGGAAATGGAGATCATGTGGTTAATACAGGAAAATGTGAACAGCTCCAAATTTGGGTGCAAGGGGAGTGTATTACTCAAGATTTCTATCTCTTGGAACTAGGAGGTACTGATTTGGTGTTGGGAATTGCATGGTTGGCAAGTCTGGGTGAGGTACAGATAAATTTCAGTGATTTATCCATCAAATGGAAGGAAAAAGGGGAAGATAAGATGCTCAAGGGAGGTTTTGAGTTAAACAGAACAAAGGCATCATGGAAATCTGTCCTATAGACTTTGCAACACGAAGGAGAAGGGTATGCCATTCATTATGAGGTAGCTGATTCCAGCAAGCCAGATCCAGAAACGGAGAAGGATTGGGAGGAGCTAATAAGAGAATTCCCAAAAGTTTTTCAGAAGCAGGCAGGTTTACCACCTAAAAGAGCATGTGACCATGCCATAAACATCAAAGAAGGAGCATTGATTCCAAATTCCCGGCCATATCGATATCCTCATTATAAAAAAGATGAGATAGAAAAATTGGTGCAGGAAATGTTGAACAGTGGAGTTCTCAGACCTAGTACGAGCCCATACAGCAGTCCAGTCATTATGGTTAAGAAGAAGGAAGGAGGTTGGAGAATTTGTGGAGATTACAGGGCCCTTAACAAAATTACAATTCCTGACAAGTTTCCTATTCCTATCATTGAAGAACTGTTAGATGAATTGGGGGAGGCTCAGGTATTTTCCAAGTTGGATCTGAAATCCGGGTACCATCAAATTCGGATGAAGGAAAGTGACATCCCTAAAACTGCCATTCGAACCCATGAAGGACATTATGAGTATGTCGTCATGCCGTTTGGGTTAACCAACGCTCCCTCTACTTTCCAGGCTCTGATGAACCACATTTTGAAGCCGTATTTGAGGAAATTTGTCCTTGTTTTCTTTGACGATATACTGGTGTATAGCAGAAACGTGGAAGAACACCGGGAACATTTAGGGAAGGTGCTGAAAGTGCTTCAAGAGAACCAGTTGGTGGTTAACAGAAAAAAATGCTACTTTGGGCAAAAAGAGCTTGCTTACTTGGGACATATCATATCAGGTATTGGGGTCTCTGCTGATCCCAGTAAGATCCAAGACATGCTCAACTGGAAAAGGCCTCAAGATGTGAAAGGACTCCGGGGATTTCTGGGGCTAACAGGCTATTACAGAAGGTTTGTAAAAGGATATAGTAGAATAGCAAAGCCTCTCACCGATTTGTTAAAAAAGGATGGCTTTAAATGGACACGTGAGGCCACCAGTGCATTCGACGAATTGAAGGTAGCCATGACTACGGTACCTGTGTTAGCTAATCCCGACTTCAACAAAATGTTCATAATTGAGACTGATGCTTCTGGGCAGGGGATAGGGGCTGTTTTGATGCAGGAAGGCAGACCTATTGCTTATATGAGTAGAGTACTATCCAATAGAAACCAAAATAAGTCAGTATATGAACGGGAGCTGCTAGCAATCGTGATGGCCGTGCAAAAATGGAGACCATACCTAATGGGCCGGAGTTTTGAAGTCCACACAGACCAGAAAAGTTTGAAATTTCTAATGGAGCAACGGTTAATGGGTGAGGAGCAACAAAAGTGGATCACAAAGCTGTTGGGATACAATTTCAGCATTAAATATAAACCGGGTTTGGAGAATAGGGCCGCGGATGCACTGTCTAGGAAGGCTAGCTATCAGGCTCTTTCAGTGGTGAGTTTCCAGGAATGGCAGGGATTAGAGGAGGAATTGTTGCAGGATACCAGGTGCAATCAATTAATTCAGAACCTGGTGTCACAACCAGAATCTCAACCAGGTTTTAAATTGAGAAAAGGGTTAATCTACTACAAAGATAGACTCATGTTGCCCAAGAAATTTGCGAGAATCAATCAAGTGCTGAAAGAATTCCATGACTCAGCTTGTGGAGGACATGCAGGGTACCTCAGAACTTTGAAAAGAATATCTAGTGTGCTGTACTGGGAGGGAATGAGGCAAGATATCCAAGATTATGTGAAGAGTTGTGAGGTATGCCAAAGGAACAAGTACCAGGCTCTAAGTCCTGCTGGGCTACTGCAACCTTTGCCGATTCCAGATCATATTTGGACTGATATTAGCCTTGATTTCATTGGAGGATTACCTAGAACGATGGGTAAGGACACCATACTAGTGGTGGTTGACAGGCTAACCAAATATGCCCATTTTTTGGCATTGGGCCATCCTTATACGGCTAAGAGTGTGGCTGAGTTGTTTATTCAGGAGGTGGTGAAGCTGCATGGGTTTCCCAGGACCATCGTATCAGATCGTGATAGTCTATTTTTGAGTTCATTTTGGGCTGAACTTTTTAAACTTGCAGGTACCAAACTAAAATACAGTACCGCCTATCACCCTCAAACGGATGGGCAGACTGAAGTGGTTAATCGTTATCTGGAAACGTATCTGAGGTGTATCACTGGTAACAGACCTAAGAAATGGCCCCAATGGTTACCTTGGGCTGAGTTTTGGTATAATACCAATTATCACGCCTCACTGCAGACTTCTCCTTTCAAAGCCTTATATGGCCATGAGCCTCCAACTTTAATCTTGGGAGATGCTACAAGGACAGCAGTTGAAGAAGTAACCAAACTCACAGCAGAAAGAAATGAAATGATCAAGGAGTTGAAGCAAAATCTAGCCATGGCTCAAAATAGAATGAAGCAACAGGCGGATAAAAATAGAAGGGATGTTCAGTTGGAAGTTGGAGATAGGGTGTTTCTCAAAATACAACCATACAAAATGAAAAGTCTGGCAAAAAGGCTGAACCAGAAGCTAAGCCCAAGATTTTATGGCCCTTTTGAAGTCATTGAAAAAATAAATCCAGTGGCTTACAAGTTAAAACTGCCAGATGGTTGTAAGGTACACCCGGTGTTTCATGTTTCTTTGTTGAAGAAAACTGTGGTTCCTAACATTCCTACTCAACCTCTACCTGGATGCTTAACGGAGGAGTGGGAACTTCAAACAGAACCTGAAGAAGTGTTGGCTGCTAGAGAGTCTATCAATGGGAGTAAGGAGATATTAGTTCATTGGAAGGATTTGCCTAGTTTTGAAGATTCCTGGGAAGAGTTGTCTGAGTTTCAATCATTGTTTCCCAATTTTCACCTTGGGGACAAGGTGAATTTTGAAGGGAGGGGTAGTGATGAGAACCCAGCCCATTTAGATATTAATAATGAAAGGGATTTTTCCAGAGTTTATAGTAGGAGAAATAAAAGGGCAAAGGAGTAAAAGCATAATTAATGGGGGGAGCTGGGTCGGCAGATTGGGGAATAAAACGGGAACCAAGGGAGGAGAATAGGCATCGGGAAATTTGGATAGACTGGTTTTGGAGAGAGGGGCCCTCTCGAAAGGCTTCCAACTTGTTTTTCTCTTTCAACAAATAATCTTCCTGATCATTGTGTTCCAGGATTCAGTAATTTTCTTTCAATAAAATTTTCAGAGTATTTCAGAAAAATGGTGATAGTCTTTCGCATGCAACAGAAAATAAAGAATTAAATAAGAGGATGACTAAGGGTAATCAAGAACAGAATGAGAGTTATGCATATCCATCATTTTCTCCTGCAAACAACCTTGAGCAAGCTACTACCGACATCAATCATTGTGACGGTCTGATGGCTGAAGCTCTCAATCCAAATGGGAAGGTTTTCCCACTTCATGATTGAATTTTGAAGGGAGGGGTAGTGATGAGAACCCAGCCCATTTAGATATTAATAATGAAAGGGATTTTTCCAGAGTTTATAGTAGGAGAAATAAAAGGGCAAAGGAGTAAAAGCATAATTAATGGGGGGAGCTGGGTCGGCAGATTGGGGAATAAAACGGGAACCAAGGGAGGAGAATAGGCATCGGGAAATTTGGATAGACTGGTTTTGGAGAGAGGGGCCCTCTCGAAAGGCTTCCAACTTGTTTTTCTCTTTCAACAAATAATCTTCCTGATCATTGTGTTCCAGGATTCAGTAATTTTCTTTCAATAAAATTTTCAGAGTATTTCAGTTCTTATCACTCACCAACGGTGGGGGTAGGGGGGGGGGGTTGGATGTATGCAACCTTACCCCTGTACTACGACATAGAGAGGATATATTTTTATATATACTAATATATTATGTTATGAACTACTTCTCTAAACATGTTTTAAAAATTATCTGTACATAATTATGAACATTCATTTCCAATATATTTATATATTATGACAATCAAGAGATAATAGGTGTGCTTGTGTGTAAGGAACAGAGATATCTGATCCAAAAAAGAACAATATGTGTGCAAATAAGAAGGTAATTTAGTCTGTAAGAAAAAATGAATACTATTCATTGTTTATCTAAAAATTCCCCTTCAATTTTTTTTTTACCAAACAAGAAGGGAGCAATCCCTTTCTCCTCTAAACACTGTTTATGTTTTATTGTTATCTCAAGCATATCAGCATGGTATTATTTAGTAATTGTTTCTCTTTGCATATATCTTAGCAATTACTTATGATAAACTTTTTCTTTTTCACGCCAATGAACACCACACAGGAAATTTGTTAGTGAAGTGATAACAGGATATCTTCCTAGTCTTATCCTTCAGATGTTTCTCTCTCTAGTTCCGCCTGCTATGATGATCTTCTCATCCATACAAGGTTATATTGCACTTAGTCAGATAGAAAGGAGTGCATGCTTCAAAGTTCTGTGGTTTACAATTTGGAATATCTTCTTTGCAAATGCTTTATCTGGGTCAGTTCTTTACCGTGTTGAAGTATTTCTCGAGCTGAAGAACATCCCTAGTATGTTAGCTGTAGCTGTTCCAGGTCAGGTGAGTTCTTTTGAAGTCTTCATAGTGGTAGTTTGTTTGAAATCTTCAATAAAATATCATACAAGGTCAAACAGTTTAAATTTTAAATATTAATTAAATAAGCCAATATGAGTTTCAAGCTTAAGGTTAAGAAATACATCTCTTATGATGGGTGCTGTGGGTACATTCCTGATGTGGTATATTTTAAATTTAATAGGCAAACAACCCAACATATACAGTATAAATCTCAACCGGTAAAACCTAAACCATAACGTTAGAAAACCTAATCAATTTCTTTATAATTTGTTGTGAACTTCAATGTTGGAATTTAGCAAACCATGATAAATACAGAGGAAAAGGGATGAAAAAACCAATACTTAAAGAATGGATAGAGGGAGAATACACTTATGTTAACTGTCAAAATCTATTTTGCTTTGACAGGCAACTTTCTTTATTGCCTATGTTGTAACATCCGGATGGACAAAGACCGCCTCTGAGCTTCTTCGGCTAAAACCCTTTGTTTCAAGTTTTTTTAAAAGGAGACTTTGCAACACATCTAGTGAACAGTTTGAGGTTCCATCAATTCCCTACCACAGTGAAATTCCACGGATTCTTTTGTTTGGCGTTCTCGGTGTTACATATTTCTTCCTAGCACCTCTAATGCTGCCTTTTATTGTGATTTTCTACTGTCTGGGATATGTTGTTTATCGCCACCAGGTTGGTAGACTATATACTTCTCCTAGATCCCTAAACAGCTCAAAAATTTGCCTTTTATTGAAGAGCTGTTTGGAACTCTGAAAATGCTTGAGACAGAAAATGTCGGAGAAAATAGAACCATGGTTCAAAATCAAATAAAATTATCTTTGATAATTTTTAACTCATTCTACTTGGTAATTTATCTATTTCTGTTACGTAGTATATATTATACACTTCAAGACCAGGAAATATGAACATACATAAAAAAGTAAAAGAATCAAACGTGTTTCATTTTCACTTGCATTTTCTGGGTTAAAACCCGTAAAGAAACATATGAAAGTCACTTTTCTTAACAGTTTTTTCCCTTCCACTATTGCATTCTGAGATCCAAACATACCGCAAGTGATTATTAAACATATATAGCTTACTTCTGTTTTATTTAAAAAATCTTGCAGCTGCTATATGTTTATGCACCAAAGTTCGAGACAGGTGGACAGTTTTGGCCAATAGTGCATGATTCAACAATATTTTCATTAATCCTGATGCATGTTATTGCCATTGGAATATTTGGGTTAAAGAAGCTATCACTAGCATCCAGCTTAACCATTCCTCTTCCAATCCTCACTCTTATATTTAATAACTACTGCCGGAGAAGGTTCTTACCAATATTCATGGCTTATTCTGCTGAGGTACAAGTGATATACTTTATTTTACTAAGTGTCTATTTGGATCCCCGAAAAAAGGGGTCGGGGGAAGAACCAAGGAAAGTAGTTTTACTATGTTTTGTTTTACCTTGGAAAAGGTGAATGAAATATGGTTTTTTTAACCCTTTTTACATATATTTACTATGAAGTATAACATAGATAAATAAAATGAGTATCAACAAATATTTCTTATAAATTTATTGACTTTTAGAGCCCATTTGACGACACTAAAATTGCTGGATCTGCTAAAGTAGTTATATTTGAAATATAGTTTACTAATAAGTAAACAAAAAGTTAGAAAAAAATAAAAATGTCTTGCAAATTCAGCCTGAAAAGTACTCGCAACTTACTTTGATTACTTCATAATTCACCATGAGAAATAAAAAATTAGTGTTTGGTAAAAAAATCAGGCCGATATGGGCATTAAGCCAAATGAATGGGTTATGAAATGGCCATTTAGTCCATCTTTTATTACTCTGTATGCTATAGATTTCGATACTTTGTATTTTCCGGGATCCAAATAGGCACTAGATCTGTAAATGGTAAGGGTTTAGCTAATTGTTTCATGTCTTTGGACCGTTTAATAAATGCAGAGTTTAATAAGCAAGGACAGAAGTGATCGAAATGACCCAACAATTTCTGCATTTTATGAAAAACTGGAAACAGCCTATCAAGATCCAACTTTGATGCCAGTCTCATCTTCTAGAAGCAATGACCACCAAACTGCACCCCTTCTTCACACACCATAGGCATAAAAGTGAAAGTCATATACTCATGGTACGGCAACATTTAATATAGCAACAAGTAGTATGGCATCGTGGCGTAACAACATGTAATATTGGCATCATGGCATAAGAAAGTAGTGCGTAGTCTTAATCGTTGTAAAATATCTGATGTTTCTTTTGGCTTTTTCTTCAACTTTTATTACTTTTGTGTAAGGTTAAACTTTTTTTCCTGTGCATTATAATAATACATAAAAAGCTTTTCCTTTTTTTTTGTGGGTCATACTCATGTCAAATATGAATTATTCACTTTAGACTCATGCCAGTCATACTCATGTGTTAACAAGAATCTTGCATGTGATATATTGGATTTTTACCAAGTAAATTATGCGCATTTGGCATTTTAATTATAACAGAAGAACTTATAATCAAAGGTGCCTGTTTTTGTGGCAGTTAAGTTTTGTTTCATTGTATGATATGTGTAATTAGTTATATAACACAAGAGGATTGGCTCTTTGAACCTGTGTTTATCTTGATAAAGTCTTTCTTAACAGATTGTAATTGAAATGTTATATGATCTCTTATTGTGACATTCCTTCCATTTTGATAGAAACAGAATGGTTTGAGTATGAAAGAAAATCTCAATTTACCCCCAAGTTTTCTTCCATCTCTTACAATGTGTAATTTTTTGACAGATTAATGGATATTATTAGTGATGGACCCAGGCCGGGCCAAGGCCCGGTTGGGCCGCGGTTCAGGTATTGGTAGGCCTGAGACCGGCCCGAGCTATGGCCGGTGCCGGTTCGGGCCGGGTCACCCGCCCGGGTCACGGGTCGGGCCACCCGCCGGGCCGGGCCTGGTCATATTTTTTTAATCATAGATTATACAAATTCTTATTAAAAACAAAGTTCAAGTGCATTTATTTGAAATAGGAATTACATTTGAGAATTGAGAAAAAAATAACAATATGAAATACATTTTCTAATAAATATCAATTGGGATTTCCACCACCGTTGGTTGTTGTTTTGCCTTTGTCACAGGACTTCATATGTTTTATTGGCATCCCGTATCCGTGTGAACGCCCCAAGCAACACTCTTTCTTGCACCACTTGCAAGTTGCTCACCACAGTCCGGTCTTCAGGTCCTCCCCCTTATCAAAATTGGTTTGCACGAGGGAAGAATTACTTTCCATCTTTAAAATGGTAGATGTATGAGTATGAATGAAGGATAATAAGAGAAGATGAAGGTGGAGAAGAGTTGGAGAATAGTTGGACACGAGGTGTAGAAAAATGTTAGAAAATAGATGTATTTATAGATTTTTTTTGAACCCACTCCCCACACATCCACCCCCGGGACCCCCCTGCCCCCCACCCAAAGCCCCAACGGCTATATAGCCGTTTGGGAGCTGTTTTGTTTTTTAAATTTTTTTTTATTTTTTTTTGAAAATTATACATATTGTAAAATAAGTTAATTAATTTAATGAATTAAGTAAAGCTATTTTTACTTAGAAAAGTGGTTTGATTTATAATTTACAAATGTTACAAAATAGGTGTACAAGTATTTAAACAAATTACATATTGTAAATGTATTTTTAACTTAAAAACAGCCTTTAGATTTTAGAAAAATAATTTTAAGTTGTAAGTTTGTAACCAATTAATTAATTTGAGAAGTGCTACATATGAAAAAATGAACGCATATTTATTTGAAATATGAAGTACAAGTTTACAAATTAATTTTATTGAATTGATTATTGAATAATTTTATTGTTGATTATTGAATTGATGTACACAATAATATAAAAAAATTCAAGTATATTTGTTTCAAATAAGAAGTACAATTGAGAATTAGGATGAATTTAATAAATGTAATAAATAATCAATCGGAATCTCCGCCTTCGGTGGTTGTTTCCTCCATAAAGTGGCGGGTGGGAGCGATGGTCATTTCTTGAGTTCTTCGTTGGGCCTTCAACCAATCGTGGAAGCTATGGATGGACCCGGGCCGGTTCGGGCCCGGTTCGGGCCTAGGCCCGGCCGGGCCTCGGGTCTGTTTTGTTGGGCCCGAGCCCGAACCGGTGGCCACCGGTTCCGGGCCGGACCGGGCCGGGCCGGGCCACCCGGTTAGTTTATTTTTTTTTTTCTTTTCTTCCCCCCCCCCCACCCCCCACCCCCCCAAACCCCCCAAACCGGTCCTAAACATCAAGCCCAACTCAATAAAGCCCAAAAAATGAAAAAATAAAAAAAAAACAATTTTTGGCCCGGGCCCGACCCGGCCGGGCCGGTTCGCCAAATACAAGGCCCGAGCCCGGACCCGCCCCCCCACCGGGCCTAGGCCCGACCCGGACCCGGACCCGAGAACCGGGCCAGTTCCGGGCCCGCACAGTGGCGGGCCGGGCCGGTCCCGGGCCGGGCAGCCCGAACCGGGTCCATGCCTAGTGGAAGCAAACTAGCGTCTCAAGAGAGCTCGGGCTCAACCTCGTTCTATAATCGGTTATGACGTTGCCGGCCGCACTAAATTCTTGTTCTCCGGCAACTGTTGATATCGACATTGCTAGCACTTGCTTAGCCATCTTTGATAAAATCGGGAATGTTCTTTCATTTTCCTTCCACCATTTAAGAATGTCAAAGTCATCCCCAATTTCATAATCAACATTCAATGTTAGATACAAAGAAAGCTCATTAACTGAGTTTTGTTCAGTAGCGGGAGTTGCTCTACTTTTTTTCAAAAGAGAATCAAATGCAGATTTTAAAAGTGATTTTCCTTTAGATGAAGAAGATGTTCGCGGCATGGGAGGGGGTGCATTACCTTATTGTGCATAAAATTCATTATACAATTGATGAAACAAATTACTAACCTCGTTGAATTCTTGTTTAGGGTCTATGGGATTATCATCGAACTCTTGAGTTGGAAAAAAGAAGCATAATAGTAATCTATACAAGTTCCCAAGTAAGCAAGTTTATAACGAGGATCAAGAACAAATGCAATACCATATATATGCGGAATATGTGAATAATATTTTAAAAACTTTTGTTTCATGAAATCACAAAAACAACTAACGTAAGCGGCATCGGAAAATTCACAAAAAGCGCCGGCGAGATTAACAGTTTCAACAAAAATTTCGTTTGCGGTATGTTTATAAACATGACTAAAAGTTTAAGTTGCGTTATTAAAATATACCAAAACATTAACAATTTTTTCACAAGTGTCGATGTCAGCCGGGTTTATAATATAGTTACAAGATTGTCTTAAAAAAGCAGGAAAATGTTCTTTATATCTAATAAGTACTTTAATTAAGTTATAAGTACTATTCCAACGAATAGACAAATCTTTAGGAAAAACACAATAATTGACACGTCTATCCTTCAAATATTGCCGCCATTGCATTTTTAGTGGAGTGTTAGCCCAAATCAATTTAATTCCCCCCTTCACTACCTCCAAAGCATTTCCTAATGCCGCTAACCCATCTTGTACACACAAATTTAGAATATGACATGCACAACGTTGATGAAAAAACCTACTCATCAATGTAGAAACATCACACAATTCACGCAATCTAGGTATAACAGCAATATTATTACTAGAATTATCAAAACCTACAACAAACACCTTATTAATCAAATTATACTCAATTAAAATACGCTCAATGGGAATATAAATATTATCAGCAGTGTGACGATCATTGAATTCACGAAAAGCAAGAACACGTTTATGCATATTCCAATCATCATCAATATAATGTGCAGTAAGACCCAAATAATATAAATGATGGTAAGTATCCTCCCATATATCGCTACAAATACTAACACGTCCATCAAAGTTTGCGAAAAATGTTTGTAATTTTTCTTTTTCCAAGTTCTTTTTAATATGTTTGCCTTATAACTTCTTTTTTAATCGTTTTGCGACTATAATTTCTAAATTGAGGATTTAAAGTACCTTGAGCATAATCTCTTAAAGCAACACTTTCGGAAAAAATATAGGGTAAATTTCTTCAACAATTAAATGAGACATACCAGTCAAATGTTTTTGATCATCATAGGAGAAATTACCAAAGGGTTGAGAATTTGCAAACCTAGATATTTGTGTTTGCTTCCCCTTGCCTTTGTCTATTTTCGCATACTCCACAAAGTGTGCGGACTTAAGATGCCTTGTCAGACTCCCGTATCTGCCAGAAGTTCCCAAGCTATACTCTTTGTTGCAATGATTGCAACTTGCGTACCATTTATCGGTATTTTTGTCTTTCCTTTTTGTAAAATTGTTTTCAATAATAGGAGATTTAGATTTCTTACCAATTTGGGATGAAACCCCCTTGTCCTCCAACTCTTGCTCATCATCCGGGGTGCCGTCGCCCCCCCGCCCTTCGTCCTCCTCCGCATCCTCATCCTCGAGCTCATCTTCATCAATGGTTGTCAGGAATTGTTGTTCTTGTGCAAAGCGTGGATCATTTTGGGACAATAGGTTTTGTAGTTGCTCTTCGGACGTCGCCATATCATCTCTCCGTTGGTAATCCGTTTCAAAATCATCTCGACTTTGAAAAGAAGACTCGGCCCGCGCTTTATCTTTGCCTTTGCGTGAAGTAGGACGAGTCGCCGCAATCTCCCTCTTGCGGTTGCGTTGGAGATTACCCATATCTACAGAATGTCTACCACGGTCCATCTTTAAAATTGAACAAATATTATATGATATCAAATATTTTATATGAGTACAATAGTAATAATAAAATGTGACTAAGAAAACTATAGCAAATTCGAACTAAAATATGAGTATATCAAATGTAACAATTTTTTTTCCTTGAAAAAAATCGAACTACTTGTAATTAATACTTTAATGAGAAATGTAGCAATTAACTAATATTAATATGAGAAATGTAACAATTAACTAGTTTAACTAATATTAATATGACAAATGTAAAAATTAACTAGTTTTTGTACTTTAATGACAAATGTATCAATTAACTAATATTAATATGACAAATGTAACAATTAACTAGTTTAACTAATATTAATATGACAAATGTAACAATTTACTAGTTTAACTAATATTAAAATGACAAATGTAAAAATTAACTAGTTTTTTTACTTTAATGAGAAATGTACCAATTAACTAATAGGAAAATGAAAAATGTAACAATTAACTAGTTTAACTAATATTAAATGAAATATGATATGTAACAAGTAACTATTTTTTTTTATTTAAAGAGAAATGTAGAGAAATGTAACAATTAACTAATTTAATAGATAAATGAGAAGTCTAACAATTAACTACTTTTATAAAATGTATGAATGTGTATAAGTATATATAGTTTATATAATGTGTAAATGTATTATAAGTA